CCCAGGTCGACGCCCCATGGGCGATATCGTCAATGTACGAGCTTCTTCCGAAGACCGGGTCCATTTGTGACGGAGCCGGGATATTGCGTCGAAATGCAGTCATGTCCAATGCCGTGATCTCTGAATCCTGCATATCTACCTCAGGTTTCAGGACCCCTTGCAGCTCAAGATTCAAAAACTCCAGAACTTCTTGGTCAACCAACGCTTCCTCTTCTGGAGGCAGACGAACGAATCCCCACAGACAGTTGTTGATGATGCTCTGATAAATTAACGGCGCGTTCTTCAGTCCGAAAGGCATTCTGAGCCATTGAAAGTGGCCGAACGGACAGACGAACGAAGAAATCAACTTCGCACGCTCAGTCATTCGCACCGCCCAGAATCCACTTGCCATGTCGAGACTCATAAACCACATTGCAAACTTGAAGTCTACTAGCAGGTCATCGATCAAGGGTAAAGGGTAGCGAGATTCAGAAGTCGGTAGTCAATACACATTCGGATTTCTATGTCGTTTTTCTTCAGCACAATCACAATAGGTGATGACCATTCGGACTCTGAATACTCAATGAGTTCTGCCTCCAACAGCTTCTTCAGGAGCTCAAATACCTTCACCAAGAAAGGTGCAGCAATCTGCCTCGCACGTAAAGCCACTGGTTTGCTTAACCGACGTCGATGTCGCACACCACGCCCCTAGCCGGAGCCGGAGCTGCATTACCGTCTCCCAGGAAAATACTGCGATGACGTTTCAGGATCCCCCTCATCTTGGCTTCCATTTCTGGAGTTGTGACCCCCGGGACTCCGACATTTGCTTCGTCGATGTTACACTCTGGGGTCAGTTCTTCAATTTCCGGGAGCAGGATGAGTTGGTCTCGTAATTGCGCCATCAGATCACTTCCTTCTCTGAGATATACGGCAGGTTCCAGATCCAATTCTTCAGCAGAGACTCGTATCACCCGAGCATATTCTGCCTCCAGCCTCTGGACCGGCGTCGAACAACTCGTCTGTGAGTGGACATCCACTGACGGTTCAGGGACCTGAACATTAGTCTTGACATCCATCATACTTTCTGGATTCAAGGTCTCGGCCTTTGGACTCAGGTCAGGATGGATCTGTTCTACCGGTTTAGGGCGGGTCTCAGGTTCTTCGGGGGTTTTCACAACCGTGTTCATAACGACCGCTGCATTCCCGATGATCTTGAGCGTCATATCCACCGGTTTCGGCTTGTCTTGCAACTTCACCATTTTCACTTCAGCGGTTTGGGACTGTGGGCGCATTAGGAGCTTAGTAGACCACTGATATCTCTGGGTCTGGGTGCACGGGGGCTCCCTTTCCCTGAGAAACTGCTCTAACCGTTCAGCACGCATCCGTGGCTGGCGTGACACGGTACACTAATGGATCAACTGTTGCCATTCCTCATACCGTGCTTTACCAGGACGAACGAATCCAGGCTGTCCCGGGAACTGTCCATACCCCACAATACGTGTGACAGCCGTCCTAGTATCAATCCAAACGTTCTGGTCTGAAACATTGACTACCTTGACAGCAGTCGCCCAAGATCTGGCAGAGCACAGGATCTTCGTCACCCAGTTTTTGCCTCTCCCGGCCCACACGAGCTCACGTTGAGTGTTAAATTGCCCATATCGAATTCGTACAATAGCATCCTGACCAGGACGCAGGTGTATGCTTTCCTCTGGACACACAGGGAGATCCATACCACGGGACTTGGGATCGTTATCATACATAACCACAGTTTCTTCGTCTGGCAGCTTGACCAAGCCTTCGCGTATGCAGAGCCGGACACCTGCTGAATGCATGAAGTTCATACCTAGCAGGACATCCACACCTTCTCCGATATTTCCAACCCAAATATTCAAGACGTACACCACACTCCATCCGAGCGTCATTTTCACTCGGGCATGAGTGGCAATGTAAGTGGTCACTCCTCCTAAACCAGAGACTTTGATTTGACGATGTGTCCGGAGC